AATATAGATTTAATGGTCAATGCCAGGATCCAGAGTGTTGAGAGCAGCAACCGCTCTATTCATTAGACCCAGCAGTATGCTATTCTGAACCATGTCAATGAGGTGGCATTGGACACAAAAAGACCAAGAGAACCCCTTAAAGAATTGCAGTTACTTGATCTGCTTCCCGACCAAGCAAGTTTGGAACGCCTCAAACAAAGATGCAGTGTTGGTGAGCAAGATTATAAGCAAGTACCTCACAAAGTTCCATCCATTCAGGGATGTAGTTATTTGTCACATTCCACGTCACTACTCCAAGGAAATGAAGACAAAATTAAACTGTGAGTGTAAGTTAAATACAATCAATGAAAAAACCTACTGGGAACAATACCCAGTAGTAAAATTGGTAGCAATATACGTATGGCATACACAATGTATAAGGCTATAGAGGAGGGATAAACTTATATATATATATATATGCACCAACTGGTATATGTATATAGAAATATATATAGATTTGCAGAGTTGGATTATTTGGTCCAAGACATTTATTACTACTCAGAGTTTCATGCTCCTTGCGGAGCAATCATCAGGCAACTGCTAAAAATAACGGATACATATGAAGATATACAAAATTTGAAAATACAGAACAATGTGTAGTGGCGTGACATGCAGAAATATGATTGGTTGCTAAGCGAATACGTTCTTCAAGAGGAATTTCTTAGAATGTCTACAATTAGATATCAGTTCGCTTCTGTTGTTCAGGGTTGACATTTCGGGTTTACATATAATAAAATATTTTTCCTATAAACACAAGTTACATCTCTTGCTTATACTAGAATATGATGGGGCCTGTTTTACCTTTTGCCATTTGATGTTGTACGGAATACCCTTATCTTTAAGACTCCAAATATATTTACTTAATTCAGTTGCATGCTTATACCGCTCGTTCTTAAATGAGCACACATGGTTTCTGTATCTCAACTTAAAGGTTGTATCTCAAAGACCAATGTATGTCTCTCTTGAAGATGGTGTCGTGACTTCGGCTTGGTAGATCATGTTTTGATCGTTGCATTTACCATCCATGGGGCACGTGCTTGAGTTCCGGCAGTTACAATTGCTGTCATCGGTGGTGTCATTAATGGGATCAGATTTGTTAATTTGAGCTTTGTTGTGGTTGGATATAATGGTTTTGACATTTGGCATAAAACTGTGGCTTAATTTAAGCGTGTTCCTATTGAAAATTCTTTCAAGTGGGTGTGATTTAGGGAAGTGTTGATCAATGAGAGAAAGGAAGCACTTTCCTACATTCGTTTTAACATTTTTGCTAAAAGGTGGATTGTACCAAAGAATGTTTCTTGGTCGGTTCTTCCGTGGCTGCTGTTTCTCATTACGTGATTCATTGTAAGACAGGTTGTAATTGTAACCGCTTTTATTGAGGGCTTCTTGATACACGGCTTTGCTGTTGTCAAAGCATTGTCCGTCCGATGATATTTCTGAAAGACGTTTATTCATGGCATCTGGGATGTTTTTCAGGATAGATGGCGGATGGTTGGATTTCTTGTGCACGTACAATGGGAGGTTACCTTCCTTTGTGTATGGAAAGTGTTTGCCGGCCTGCAGGTCAAGCGTGACGTCTAGAAAATTTACAATGGATTTGTTTGCTTCTATCGTTATCTTTAAGCCATTTTCACGGAAAATCTTGCACAGCTCTTTTTTGATCTTCTCAAATTCTTGCAGTGTTTTGTTAAAAGCTGCTAGACCATCGTCGCGATAGAGACCAATGTTTTGGCCATACTTGTCGGTGAGAAGGGATCACAGGTAGCAGCCGACCAATTCACACGTTTCAGCACCATCAAAAGAACCCATGGTGACATCGAAAAGATCGTTTGAAGATTTTTTCTCCCATATGGAATCATTGCTGAACAACAGCGAGCGTTTTGCGTGTAAGATGATGTCACACTCATGACTGCTAATGGGTCGGTACTTGTTAGCAAAGTCAATGGCCTTTGAGAGCAGCTTCTCATTGATTGAAGGGTAAAATTCACATACATATATACCAGTTGATGCATATGCACAACTATCGGCAGAGTGCTCAATAGAAGGACTAGAGCATAGAATAGTCAAGGTTGTCTGGTGTCAACGTGAGATTAGACTTGGCATTTTTATTACTACTTAGTTTCGTACCGCACGGCATGTACGGCGCCCCTCAGATAAAATTGCCAACAAAAAGTTCATTGCAACATATGCTAGGACAACAAACGCGTGCGCGGAATTTGAATAAAAACTATTGCCTGCCAACAGAAGATGTAAAGCTGCTAAGAAGGAATTTATGTGCATGCGTGCATGAAGTTACAAGTTCATTTCGTTTGTTCAAGTTCGCCAGATTGGCTCTGCAAATAATGAAATATTTTTTTCCACAGGCACAAATTACAGCGCTTTGAAGCGGGATTAAACGGCACAGCTTGCCTTAAGATCTTCCAAGTTAAGCTAAATCCAATCTTAGCATCTTTCAAGGGCCAGATGTGCTTACTGAGTTCTGTACTGAGTCTCTTGTTTGGGTCTCTGAAAGAAGACTTAAGGTGTGAGTATCTGGTCTTAAAAGAGTTCTCAGTAAGGCCTACATAGGTCTTGGCTGGCCTGTTGTCCTCCATTGCTACTGTGGCTTGGTAGATCACGGCTGATTTTAAGCAATTACCGTCCAGAAGGCAATGAGCCAGTTGACGGCAGTTGCAAGCTTTAGGTGGTGCGGCGTTTATTTTCCATAGGGTGGATTTGTTGTGACCATCAATTTTTTGCTTTAGATTTGGTATGTAGCTGTAACAGATCTTGACTGTGTTCCGGTTGAAGATGTTATGCAGCGCATGGCCCTTCGGGAATTTTTCATCGAGGATCTTTAGGAAGGATTGTCCAACGTTAGTAGCCACGTTCCTGCTGAGAGGGGGGTTGTACCAAATGATGTTTCTATGGCGGTTCCTTCTTCCAGAGTTCGGAGACTGTGCCATAGGAACAGAGAACGCGAGTTTGTGGTTGCACCCGCTGCCATCGAGAGCTTTCTGATAAAGAGGCGCCGCTTTGCTAAAGCAATCTTCATCTATAGAGATTTCACTCGGGTGAATTAAGACCTGGGTCATTGAGCTCATGAGAACCCGAGCGTTGTTTTTTGAGCGGCCTCGCGACACGTGCGATGAGTTTGTAATTTGATGAAAACAACGCGCACTTCGCGTGTATCATCATGTCGATCAACCGCGTGGCTTGTTGCTGTGTTTTATCTTTCTCATAGTCGGCAACGCAAAGTCTTCTTTCCATTTTATATGGCGCTAAAAATTGTCAGTGTGATTCTTTAAGCTCTCGGGAATCGGTTTGTTTGCTTCGTTTAATCGCAACAAAATAAAATTGCAAGCTTGGAGCCGAGGTAAGCCCCAGTGTGCTTCAAGTATTATAAAGGTACTTTGTATTCTTGTTCTCGCTGACTGAAGCTTATAAGGGATAGAACAACTATCCAATACCCAGCAGCTCGTGAACTTGTACCCATTATAAACTATTTGCTAGAATTATTTTTCTTAATTTAGATTTCCTTGAGGAAAATATTTTGTTACTTAGGCATTATGTACTGTTGAACTGTGCGAAGTGTCCATTGCTTTGTTAGCATTTTGCTTCTTGAGGTGAAGGGCCCAAAAACGCATAGCAATATTAAAATATATACTTCATGACTGCTCCTAAGAGAAACAGTTGATTTTGTTTCCGAGGGAAACATTGGAATTCAAGGGAACAAACTTATTAACTAGTTTCCTGAGGTACCAGTCATTATGTTACTTGTAATAGACTTTACAAATAAACCTTTTGCCAGAACATATTTATGATGTAAATCTCAGCGAGCAGTCAACATTGGTGGGTTGACATCACAGATTTTGTAGTGCACACTCAGAGACTTTTGGTGGGAAACAAAAATATATGTTGCAGCAGCTAGAGTCGACAGTGAACTCAAACAAACCAATGAAGACATGCACTGGAAGGGAAAATATATCTCTACAGTACAATAAACAACTAGATGCATAACTGCATTACTACGGGCTTCCCTAATTAAGCAAATTGGTGTAAAACAATTCAAAATAAGAAAGCTTCTTCTAAGAAATCACAGAGGCAGCGTATATCAAAATATTGAAACAACAGTTTATATGCATAAACATCTGCAAACAATGCTTGGGTGACTATAACATAGTGGTTTGTAGTAATTGAATAGAAGTGTTTATAATAAAAACAAAGTAAGATGATACCAATGACATCAGTACAAATGCAAAGGGCAGGAATATAGTTAAACAAGAGCTAAGTGAAGTACTCAGTTCATGTTGTCCCTTTTTCTGCAAAACAACTATACAAGCTTAATGTGGAGGCATTCCTAATAATATCTTCGACAAGTCTCTTGAATTGATCAGAAACCCTCTTTGGTAGCTCAATACTCTGAGAGGGCTTCTTGATAAGGTTAACTCAGAAGAGTTTGTTAGTGAATTGGTCTCATAAAATAAGTTAATATAAACTGCACACTCGCCATCTTTTACTGTAGGTCTACAGATGAACAGCATGCACGTGTGCACTTAATATAAAGATTTTATGTATAAGAAATGAGAGAATTCATTTTTTGTGATCGCTGAGATTTATACACCAGGGATGTCACTAAGATTTCAAGTTGCCAGGTAAATACAACAAGTAGGTGGGGAATCAAACAACTAGAGATTTCGTTTTGTTCTATTTTCCTATGAAAGTATTCAGGGGCCAAATTCATAATAGCTGGGGGAAATTCCTGGCCCCCGGCTCTTGAAGACAGCCCTGATACACTGAAGACAGAAGGCTTTGCTCAACTCAGGCAAGTGGCCATGTGCTCTGCTTTAGTCCACTGTCCTATGTTATTATACTCTTATATTGTGTGTGCGCGCTTGGGCGATTCCTTTGGAAGCCCATGCTGGGTCTTAAAAAGCTTATTTTTTGTAGCTTGCAATACCAGATTGGTGACTGCAATTCAGCAATTCAGCTACCAAGTGCTGTGTTGAGGGTCTCTTTTCTGGAGAACCATTTATGCAGGCAAAAGCCAGCTCGCGAAGAGGCTCATAAGGCTTATTCTTACACAGTAAAGACAGTAAGAGTCCAAATGCATAAATATCACTAGCTGTAGACGGAGGGTGAGTTCCCCTCACAACCTCAGGAGCTATATGCTCATGATACTTTCTATACTTTTCCTGATCTCTTGGAGAAAGGTGATAGAGTTTTCCTCCAGCTATTGTCGAACACTTACCAAAATCTATAATTACTGTGTGTAAACTGTTACTCTTTTCATTAATAATTACATTGTCACCCTTTAAATCATTATGGAGGTATTCTTTAGAATGAATATAGTATAAGGCATCTACACACTCACACATAATTCGGCACCATTCACTTTGAGGGTCACTGATATTTCTTAGCACAAGAGATTTAAATGTCACACAGTGACCCTCTATCCCATGGAACTGGGTTACAATAATGTAGGGTTTTGTTTCAGTGCAGCATCCAAACAACAAAGGCAAACCTGCAATTGAAAAAACGATCTACAAATGAGATCTCAAAGACTTATTGTAGTTGCTGTAAGCAATAGCAAATAGCAATTAAGGAAACAAAATAAGACAATATAAAAGGAAAAGAAAATAAGTCTCTTTAAAATAAGAAGAAAGAAATTATTTATATCTGACTTTTACTCTAGCTGCACTACCTGGATGTTCCATTTTAGCAAGAACAGATGCCTCATGAGTAACAAGAGAGAGGCTAACATTCTCCTTAAATTCCTTTACAGTGACTGTTACTCCCCTGTAGGTTTTCTTTGAGCAAATGCCAAAAACACCAGCTCCAAGAACTTCACCATTGCTATTAGCATCTGTCAAGTAGTCTTTGTTGATTTTCTTGGGAGTAAATAGTATCACCATAAGATATTTCAGAAAAACTCCATCGTGAAAAAAAAGGTAATAAATCAGTCTTTACTCAATCTCTTTTGCAAAGCTACTCCCTATATCAAAAATTGTAATTGCCAGATATATTGTAAAAATTTATTGGCTTTTGGAGGAATGGCTGGTGAATTTTCTTTTATATATTTCCTTTGTCTACATTCATGCCCAGAAAAATAAGATGGAAATTCCCTGCATTGTTTTACTTCTTGGAGGAGTGGGAGGATTTTCTTTGTTCGTTTGCTTTGTTTTGTTGTTTTTTTTTTTACATAGTATCACCTGCAACAGCCACTGTGCGACTGTGATAGACTCTGTGTTTGTTTCCACTTTTTCCAATAAAATATGGCCTTTCTTTTTGCATCAATTTCGGAAATTTTTAACTCCTTGATCTTCTGGATATGAACGTCTTCCAGATCTTTCGCTAGTTTGGATCTGATGCATGCACACTTTTCTTTCTTTGTCATTTGACGGATCTTTTGTCTTCTTGCAGTGTTTCTCTTCAGCCGCTTTTTACGTAGTTCTGCAACAGTATTCTTTCTAAACCTACGTTCGTTGGTAACGTGGCTTTTTCATGCATCATGGGCCTTGTTTTGCCGACCGTCAGCAAGTGGTACACTCGCACGATCTGCCATGGACTGAGACAGTCCATCAGCTTGACAAAACATGGACCCATCTGCAATTTTTCCAGCCATTTTGAATTTTGGAAAAGTACGCGGCAAATATATATTTCGCGCCTTTCGCCCTCATATAAGGAAACTGTGGCCATATATGGCCATGATACTAGATTCCAGAGCCCGAATCCCTAACAGTGGGATGAAATGAGGAAACCTGGGATCAAGTAATGGAGGGTCTGGGTAAGAGATTGACAGATTCCCAGACAGCGGTCTATCTTGTCAACATGCGCAAAAGACACTAAACGAAAAGTTGCCATGGAAATTTTTATATTTTGAAGCTATTTAGTATTTTAAAAGTACCGAAATATCTGGTTGAATGTTTCTTTTGACAAGCTGAAACCATCTGTTTCCCAGCGGACCTTCCATCAATGGGGAGAAAATATAATATTCATTTAGTCGTGGATCAATGCGTGGTAAGTTTTGCATTATCTATCATTTGTAGACTAATATTTATTGAATATATAAATTGAGATTTTGACAATTCTTGGGAGGGATAAATGAATTAAATAGATAATATATATTTTTCAAAAAATTACTAAAACAGAAACACTACAACGACTTTTGAAAAAAGGTAAAATATAGATAACACGGTAAATTGCAATATTTTCTTTAATGTCTTATTGATCGTTTATGAAAAAATGAACCCAATGTATAAAATGGAAACCAGAAATTGAATAACATACAGTGTATGCCACAAGTATAAAAAAATCTTACACTTATCAGAACTGTGAAATATTAATAGCACATTTTTCAAGTATCTGCCATTTCATGTTTGGTTATATTCTCATGTATTCATGTATTTACTTTATTAATTTATCGGAATCCCCCATGCAGAAGGGGCAAATCCTGTATAAATATAGGTAAATAGATAAATAGATATTACAAATGTACTGTAATGTTCCAGTGCTGTAACAGTTGCCTACAAAGTCGTAGTGTCCTGCATAATATGTACCCTTTCTCATCGTTCTGAATGTCGTCCAGAGATGGCTCAATATAGTTGTTCATTGACGTGAACAGTTTTTCCCATTCCTTGAAGCTTTTTGCTGCTTGTGAGTGCTTTCCAAGGACTTTCGTCTGTACATGAGCTAACTGCTTTTTGTAGTCTTCTTGAAGATTTATGCTGCTGGAATTGTTTCGCAATTTGTTTCCCAACCTATCGAGCAGTTTTACGTCTTCTGTCTCACCAATGATCTTTGCGATATTTTTTGCCAGAGAAGAGGACAGGGAAGTGGCTGACCATTGCTCATTGTGCCGTAGGTTGGTCTCATAATTGGCCTTTTGGGCTACAGCTGTACCAGTATTTGTAGCTTCTGCTGTTTCTGTATCATTTTGCTCTAATTCTAGCTGCTGATCATCCTGGTCAAGAAGACATTCTCCCAGTTCTTCAACAGCAACTATATTTTCCTCTTCTTCATCACTGTCTTCATCGTAATCCAGTTGGCTGCCATCTTCTGCATAATTTTTGCTTCCCTGTTCTACATGATCGTGTTTATCATTGTGGCTGTCATCATCATCGTCATCATCATCATCCTGTAGGAAGCCAGTGTTAATAATGTGGTCAAGGTTGCCACGTTCATCAAATACTCTGATAGCTTGGTGAGGTATTTTAACTGCAGCTGCAGATGACAGGCACTTTTTCCACTTGTCTTGCAGGTATGTGCTTTCTGACTTAAGTGTGTGACTGCGGAAATGGTGTAAAGGTGGAAGAGTTTCAGCTCCTCTTGGATCTTCATCTGGGGTATTAACATCAAAAAATTCAATGCCACTCACAGTATGTCTCCACCAAGCTCCCTCACGACAAAGAAGAAAATCTGAAATGCGTTCCAGATTTGCTTGATAAGCGTATGGATATTTTAGAAGTATTCTGTGTGAAATGATGCTTTTTTCAGCCTTTAGCAAGCATTTCGATAACCTCCCCAGTTGTGATTCTTGTTCCTGGATGGCATTTCTTTCCCCTTGCTTCATTTCTGCTTGCATTCTGATCATTCCAGGTGTGATGATCTCCCCAGGTCTTCTACTTGAAGTTGCTAGTGATACGCTTGAAAAAGTGCTGAAATGGCGCTCTTGTTGTTCTGTGTTAGTCGATCTTAAGGCGATGATGCGGTGTTGAATGGGTGCATGACATACTAGAGAGTGCAGGTATCGACCATAGAATTTTCTCTCCGTGAGTATCTTGGGCTTCCCAATAATCTCCTCACATGCAATAGCATGGAGAAAAGTTTGATTGTGAAGTCATAATACACTTTGCTGGCATCGCTCCTGTACCTTGGCATACAAAATGTGGGTGATTTCTGTCATGGTGTCTAACAAGAACTGCACCTTTTCATTAACAAAACCTGTGTGGGAGAAAGAAAGGGATACGAGGAGAATCTGAATTTACAGATCGATATTTATCTAGGTTACTATTTAAGAAATGTGACTCTACCTTTGTTGATAAAGAAGAGTACATGAGTTAGAACACTAAATGTTAGGGACAAATTGATGACTGCAGTTAGATTGTATAATAGTTTACATTGTTTACACATGAATTCTAATTGAAAGAAAAACAATAGAAAAAATGGAAATTATTGCCCTGGAGGTTAATGAGTGTGTATTAATTCATATCATTCTGTTTCAGCTTTCTATATTTTTTAGAGATACGGTATTTACATGCATATGTGTTTTCACCTCTAAGCTGTTTTGCCAGCACAATCAGGATTTCTCTGTAATCTGAACCACGCAGCTGGTCTCTTGTTCCAGAAACAAGGCTTAGAGTATCCTGGCAGAGCTTCTTTTCTTTACTTGTGAGGTGAGCAACAATCTCAGTGATGATGTTCGAGATGTGTTCTTTTACATCATGGAGTGGCTCAGTAGGAAGCACCTCATACATTCCAGTTTGATAAAATTTAAAACTTTTATTAATGTTCAGTGGATGAGAGAATAAATCACAACATATATAGAGGAAATTTTGGAAATGGAGATGCCTTAGGTCAGTATAATTAGTTTTTCTATGCTTTTGATAATCATATTTATAACAAAAATGTACGTGCACATTACTATAAACAAAAACGAAGATGATGAACCAAGGATAAAATATAACATTGAACTACAGTACACATTTGTACACATGTATCAAAACTGGGCATGTATTATTTCATGTATCTGTGGATACAATAATATTGGCCAATAATTTACTGCCAAGTTGTAGTGTAATTTTGATTTTCTTTTACATGTATTTCTTAATTATTATTCAAAAATACTACTTATAGTATTAATTTAATACAATACATGTATATGAACTAACATTTATAAAATGTATTGTAATTTCTTACTGTTAACAGCATACACATTTACTGTGAATTTACCTAAGTGAAGATTCTCTAAGCTTCTTCCCTGGTTATTCAGGAGCATTGCTGGTACCCTCTGTACTCCACCAAGGTGCTTTTTTAATGTAGACTGCAGCTGTTTCTTTTTTCCTTTATCAGATAGTCCTCGAGCTCTACACTCTCTCCGTAGTTCTACAACTGTCAAATCTTTAAATGGTTTAATTCCCCCATTTCTTTTTGACCTTCCTGCAGGACCCGCCAGCAGTATGCGTTCACGATCAGCCAGTGACAGTAATGGACAACGAAAGCTGTATGTCAGATCACGATACCTTCTTGCATCTCCACTACAAGCACTACAACCAGCATTTCCTCCCCTTTGTTCTCCACTTTCAAACTGTTGTTCAGGCCCATCTCCAAGGAAAAATCTCACAACATCATTTACTTTCACCCCTTTGCTTGTTTCTACATGGTGGGGAAGGTGATCAAGGCATTCTTATCTTGTGTCCACATATGCTAGCTGCTCAATTTCTTTAGAGCCACATCTGACCAGAATATAAAGATGGGGTCTCTCAATGATAGATGGTACATCCAGATTTTCATGCCCTCTGGCCTTCAATTTTCTTCAGGTGTGAAGAACAAGGCTGGATCATACAGGCACTGGACAAGGTACATAATGTGTCCATGGTTCATTATTGTGGAATTGTCTGCTCAGATCATGAAGTGTCTAGTTCTCTCATATTTCATGAGAAGTTCTTTCATTTGCCTAGGGGTGCACTTCTCTTCAACTTCCCTTGTAAATTCGCCAATCTTTCTTAATCTTTCCTTTACTTCACTGTTGTTCATTTCTTCATACTCTGTGTCCAAATAGCCACGCACTAGTCCAAGGTTTTCACATCTCTGCAGTTCTCTTTTCCTGATTTCAGTGAGTGGAATTTTCCTTGCGGAGACAGTAAATTCCACCTCTTGAAGGGTGCCATCACTCTTTAAAACGTACTTGCGGTATCTCTTTGGAACCACTAATTGTCCAATAACATATTCACCAACATCAAGTTTATCCTACAATAACAACAGAAATAAAGTTTTTATTTTTTTCCTTTTTGTACTAATGGTGAAAGGCATAATTAGTTTTCATACTTGGCTGGATTTATATTAGTGCCAAATTACAATATTTACTTTAAAATCATTATAAGGCCTCATCATAGAAACATTGCACCATCACAGGAATGTTGAAACATCTCTCAAAATGGTGGGGAGAGGGTGGGGGAGACGAAGTAACTTAAACTGGGGAGGCTAACTACAGACTCTCCTCTTCAGTAAGTGAGTCCTTACCTTTAAGGATTTTTTAATATCTTCATTTTTTCTGGGCACAGGAACAGATATGTCCCCTCCAAGCATTTCCTTGAGCCTGCGCCTTGGTTTTGGGGCACTTCTGCGATGCCTTTGGAACCGCTGCACATTAATGCCTTCATTCTCCAGGTACTCTCTTACCACCATGTTACCTAATTTTACGTCTTTAAGGCCATACCTTCTGGCAAGGTCGGAATAATTGATCTACAAAATGTAAGAATTGTAAATATTTATATCAATGATTGGAAGAAGATTAAAGAAACAAAGTAATGCTACTCCCTTTTTTCTGAGAATGACTTTCCATTCGTTATCTAGGATCTCCTTTTTTGAAAGTTAATTAATATTACAGAGCGTAGCCAGGCCTCGTCATGTGGGATGACTTTTTCATTTAGCCTGCAGGGTGAAAAGGGTATCCCCAAGCATAGTAAAAGGGGTGAAGTTGGAAGCAAGTCAATCCCCCGCCCCCGTCCCATGCTGCACTTCTTAGACAGCCTCAGTTGCAATAATCTTTTCCTCCATTCCTCAATATGAAGCTGGTTCTCACACATGCTGTGTCATGGTACCTAGGGGCATCTTAGACGTGTATAATTTAATATTCTTTTCTGGAAATAACCCTCCTATACACCAAACAGAAAATCAACTTACCTTCTCGTCATCTTTCATATTTTTTACTTCTTGCAGGAGGTTTTCCTTGTCAACGTTGACCTGGTTTGGTGGCGGAGAATGACGTTTTTTCTTTCTTTCACCAAGATCTTCCAGCCTCTTCTGTTTCCCGACCCTTGTAGCAGCTTCCTCCATAGTCTCAAAGTAGAGAGACTTTCTCTGTCTGGCCTGCTGACTGTACGACTGCCTCGTCACTAACATTGTTTCTGTGTCTCGTTCGGACCATTCTTTTTCAAGCTTTTGTTTTTCTTGGCGTGCGCGTTGTCGACGTTCGCGTTTTTTTTCAATCTTGTTTTTCTTTTTCTGAAGTTCAAGCTCTGATACTTTTGTTTGAGGTTCAGCAAAGCTGACTTTAAAAACGTTCTGAAAGGGTGCATCAATTTGGGAATAAATGTGCTTTACAGCTGATTTTATATCCTTTTGTGTAGGCTTGACTTTGCCGTTTGCCTTGCTTGCATTTTCAGCGAGAACATTTTGAACCAGCTTTTGTGGCTTCAGCTTGGCGCCGTTCGGAAAAAAGGACTGCATAGCGAAATGATGTACTTGACAGGCATCGCAGTTTGACATTGTGTGCTCTGACTTTTGAGATTCTGGTAACGCTTTCCAGTTTTTAAGTGAAAAGTACTGGAGATATTCACTTCTCTTCTCGGGGCTCATTTTCCGAAATAAATCATAGAAATGTTTCTGGACTTTTTCATATACAGTGTCCTATCCACAGCCAATTTTGTCTTTGCTGACTCATCCAGCAACCCGCAGTAGTTTTTCCATCGCTGATCGGGATCAGTCTCTTTCGCCACGCTTCCAGGTTTGTGGAAGCTTTCTTTGACGGCCACCCGGGCAAATCGACAGACATTATTGTATTGCTAATTCGCCTTCCTTTTTTCGACTAGAATAACTCGTAACGGCTTGATCAACAGCCACTAGATGGGCGCGCCCTTGAAATCTTTGAAAATTGCGGGTAAAGTAGTAGTTATGCTGTAATCTTAAACCGAGAGTTACAAGAGTAGGCTAGAGTTACAAATTTATTTGAAAATGTCCCGCGTTTTGTCCCCTTGATTTGTTAAAAGTACTAAAAAAGGCTATATTATTATTCACCTCTAAACTGTACCCTAAGTGTTTGCTGTGTTTGTTACGTCAACTCTATGGGAGCCTTTCGCTTTTGAAATCAATAAAAATATATTTATTTGGAATAAATGTATTTGTGCTTTGCTTCTGATGAATTTTCATGTGTTTTGTAAGTTTCATCGCTGCGGTATGGCCTTTGAAATTCGCTTGTTCTTTCTCCTCTGCGATCAGCTTTGTCCGCCATGTTTGACTTCGCGGCCTTGCCTTGTAAACTCATTTTGGAAACCTAATTGGCTGATACCCATCCATGGCAACTGTTCCAACTGTATTCTCGCGGGTCTCGCGAGACAAAATGGCAGCCGGAAGACTGTACTCGCAGTTGCGAGTTTCTCAATTGCCCACTATTAGTTGGGATTATTTATTCACAAAAATACACATTTTGAACTCTTTTGGCTCCATTCTTCTTATTTCCGGCTGGAACCGAATGAAATTCATTAAAAATATTGTATAAAAGCTTGACAACGTTTCAAACACAGAACTCAATTTAACGCAAACGTATACCTGTTAAAAATAACAGACGTTTTACGTTCATTCCAGGTAGATTTATGGAGTTTATATTAAAACTGATTTAAAAGAAAGGTTTATCTGTAGTAGTAGTGAGAATATATAGTGGGCATTTCTTTCTAAAGACACATTACTCTTTTGGCGCTTAAACTAACGGTTCTTGAAAGTATCAAATTTCACCTCAGTTTCTCAGTATCATAGATCGATAAAACAGGTGAAAACTCAACATTTGGCCAAATTTCACAGCAATCGGCTCATTCTGGGGAATGTTTTGGGAAAATTTGTGAAATATACAGAAAAAGCTCAAAGGAACCAGGCCTTAATTTACTTGAGCAGACAGCCTTTTGTTAATGGACTTTGGGATATTTTTGATGATGCGGGGTGGATGGTTAGATTTCTTGTTGATGTAGAGTGGAATGTTTCCTGGTTTGTTGTATGGCAAGTATTTACTGTTAGCCAGGTTGAGTGTGACGTCAAGAAAGTTTACTACTTTCTTATTGGCTTCGATAGTAACCTTCAGACCGTACTTGGCGAAAATGCTACACATTTCTTTCTTAATAAGCTCAGCCTGCCAAGGTGATGCCTTGGTTACGCCTAGACCGTTATCTCTGTACAAGCCAAACATGCATTATCGAACCTGTCTTTGATGTTGTGGAGGAGGTAACTGCCAACGAGTTCACATGATTCAGTGCCATCGAAACTGCCCATGGTCACATCGAAGAGGTTTGATGATGTTCTCTTGCTCCATGGCTCACCGGAGTTGTAGAGAAGAGAACTTTTTCCCTGAAGGATAATATGCCGTTCGTCGTCGCACATGGTGACATGCTTTGATGCGAATTCGAGGGCGGCAGCCAGCAAGTCGATGGAGATCAATGGGTAAAACTCTACCACATCTAATGCAATAAATGAGTGCAACTCGTTATGCTGTATGCGAGTGAACCAAGCTAAGACCGCCTTAGTGTTTTTCCATCGGTTTACTCAGTTGGTTTTCCCAGTTTTCAGGCATGAATGGAGAATAAAACCATTTATGATCATATAACTCGGCTACAACAGCATTTATAAGAGCTTTGTAGTTTGGGAACGTGTGAGCTCTCTCTTCCTGCATCTGCGTGGCTCTATAACCATAAGTCTTCTTTCAGAGACCCAAACAGGAGACTCAGTATGGAACTCAGTAAGTACATCTGGCACTTGAAAGATGCTAAGATTGGATTTAATAATAATCCGATTTAAATTAGACTGATATGTCGATCCCCACACTGAAATACAATAAGTTAAGTAAGGGTAAAGTAGACTATAGTACAATGAGCGCAAGGAAGGTTTGGGAAGGCAAAAACTAGACTTATGAATAATACCTATTGATTTTGATATTTTTCTGGAAACGCTAAGAATGTGAGGCTTCCATGACAATTGCTCATCGAGGATAACACCTAAAAAAACTGTTTCTTTCACATGTTCAATAACGTTGTTGTCAATTTGAATAGATATATCAAGTGTTTGCCTCCTTTGGCGTGGTCTAAAAACCATAAAATTTGATTTTTTAAAGTTAATGGACAGTTTATTTGCTCGACACTATTGGGTTAATTTTAGCATTTCAGAATTCAAGATTTCAGGAAGCAAGTTAAAATCTCTATGGGAGAAAATATTTTTGTGTCATCAGCAAAAAGAGTAAAGTCCACAACCTTTGACACGTTGCACAGATCATTTACATAGAGTAGAAAGAGCAGGGGGTTAGTATAGAGCCCTGAGGCACCCCGCACTTTATTTCGCAAGACTCTGAACTGATACCATTAAATTCCACATATTGTTGTCTATTGCTTAGATAGCTTTTGAACAATCTAAGTGCAGTTTTCACCTTGCTGGATGCGTACGAGAATTATAAAAGCTCAAGCGATCCTTGCCTTACTTGATAGCTTTCAGGAGCTGCATCTCGAAATATGGTAAGTATTAAGATTTGACTGCGACACTGATCTGACCTAGTATGAGGTTTGATATAAGTTTACAGAACTTTAAAAAGCCTTTGGTCAATATGAATTCACCGTAAATAGAAAGAAAAAACTTTCCGAAGAATATTTAGTGTTAATTGGCTGTAGAAAGAAAGCGTTGAGTGATTTGCTTGTCATGAGTTCATCTTCGAAAACAGCAAACACCGGGAAACTGGCGGTTTAAAACATTATAAACTTAATCTTTAAGCTTATAAAAGACTTGAGGATTCATAGAGACACCTAATACTCATTTGTTTTCGTGAATGAAAATTGTTGTCTCTGTAAATGTTCTACCGAATTATATTTCTTTATTGATTGTTGGTAGTCTCGAAAGTGCAATTTTCATTGCTTTTGCGTTTGTTTTCAGCCGTTCATAAACATCGCTTGCAGGAGTACTCAAAATGCCGAGCGTATCAAACGCTTTTGAAGATTACACATCGTTATAAAACCATTATTAAAAAATAGAACTCAATAAATTCTCTATCACGTTAAAGCATAACTCAAAACCGGCTGGCCATATAGGTGATTTTGGAAATTTTTTGAACTGTTTCACTAAAAGTGCACGCGTCCTTCGATGGTCCTGAATATTGAATGAATGTAATTTGTCTTGAAAAATTGTGAAATACTGCATTTTGTAGAGGTCTGTATGATAAAAACAGCGCCTCATAGTACTCTATCTCCTCAGATGTGGTGTATAAAAAAAAAAAAAACGTTGGTTTGCACGCACCCAGATTTATTGGCAAGAATTTGTAAAGTAAACTTGTCAAATGCAAAAAATTCGGCCTGATTTGTTTTCCACACCTTATCTACTGTCATCAAGAGCCATTATTGCTCTTAAATGTGAATGAAGACTTTTTTTGGGGTGTTCATATATATCTCTTATTAGCCGAGTTTTGGGTCCGTACAGTAAATTACGGACCAAGTTTTTTTCCATCAATTTATGGCCCGCGTGCTTCACGCTTGGGCCATAAATTGATGGAAAAAAACGAGATCTGTAATTTACAGTACGGACCGAAAAAACGAGGTTAATAAGAAGTTTATTATATGGCTTCTTCCTGTTTGGGGGACCGGAAACAAGTGCAGGACGCACGATTTGACAATCATTTGACAGGCGTGAAAAAAGAAAGTTTTTATTGGCGCACAAAAACAATAGCACATAACAAAGGCTTTCCGAGAAAGTAAAAACAAATTCGCCATGTTGGAAAAGTTTATTCGGTCAAAACTAAGAGCACTGTAAGTTTTAGCTCTTTAATGTGACGCTGAAGTATTTTGGAAACCAGACACTGTGTCTGTCTAGAAGTCGTTTCCATCTTTCCTCCGTTTGTCCTTGTGAAAAAACACTGCAAAAGGCAAAGAAGCTTTTCGAGGTAAGGTTGTTGTCATTGTCGAAGGAGTCGCTCGTTAATTGTTTTTGGGAAAACCTCTCTTTCTGCCAGTTCATTCTCGTCTTCAGTTGTGATCTGCGTTAAAATTTTCAAACACTGATTAGAATTCTCTTCTTCAGTAAGGTTACGATTCAGTTTCTACAACAGCTTCGTACTCATTAAAACAAAATTTGGAAAGGCAATGTCAACATCCCAGTACTACATATTTCAATAATTTCTTGCTCATTTACAGCATCTAGAAATATTGAATTATGCGACTTTTCTGATACAGAAATTTTGCTAGCTAAATTGGGGCCAATGTTAGTAAAATATTTGCAAAAGAAATTAGCTATTTCCTTTGGATTGGAAATTTCTCGAGAATCTGCCCTAAATATAGATGGCAAACCACGCTTTCCTTTATTTCTATTAAGGACTTCATTTAGAACTTTCCAAGTGACCTTGACATTTGATTTTAGTTTTTCAATTTGTTTTTCATAATATAAACGCTTAACAACTCGAAGAGATTGAGTAAGTTTGTTTTTGTACGATTTATATGCATTTTCATTGGAAGAGTTAGGTTATTAAGGGAAGACTGATATAACATATTTTTCTTCCTTATGGATTTAGCAAGACCTTAAGTAAACCAAGGCTTACAAAGATTGAACCATTTCGCTTTCATTTT